TCATCACCTCTTTGACCTTGAAGTGGTGCGCTTGACATTAATCGCACGGAATTGTCATTCTTGGGCCTAAATTGGTTTTTTGATGGTTAGTGTCGTGACCATATCCCATTCTTGGGTTCTGTACGATATGGTTATTTGTTTGGAGACGTATAATTATTTGGAACGCAAAAAATAATCTTGTTGCTACGCTGGTGAGGTCTTTTGTGGAACATGATATTGTGAGTTTTATTTCTAATCTGAGTAACTTTAAAGTAAATATTAATATACAGATCATATTTTATTAGCATTCGTATGACTGATAGCTTTGAGGCGATTTATAATAGTAGATATTGTATAATTGGCAATAGACAAACAGAGGATAGTGTAGAATTATGTAAGTAAAATAGAGAGTGATAAAATAAACTCCGGGTAACTATCTCGACAAAATCCTTCCTATAAATAAACTAGCGACTTGACACTTTGAGCTGAATAGTAAAACATAAGTAGGTACTCTTTTTAACGTGTCGATGTTGATGACGTAATTTTACCAAATTGCATTTTTTTAGATCGCCATATCCATTTTATTATTCACTCCTCATTCCAAGTCCTAATACTTCATTCATAAAACAAAATGTTGGTCCTAACAAATATCGTAAAATGTAAGAAGCTCGTAACATAAGCAGGTAATCTATTTTACCGTCGTCTGCTCATCCCGATACACTCCAGGATCTGGTAAGTCCCCATAAAATTTTAATTTCTACTGACCCGTATTTTTACTGTCAGCGTTGGAACGTAAATCATCCTAGGGCGTGTTTGGACTCCCCTTAAACTTTTCGTGTTGATTCGACCAGGATAACAGAGGGTCAAGTTTACGATCGTACTAGTTTTTATCGAGATTGCCTCACGGTACGGCTCATAGCTTTTGTTGGGCAGCCATTTCAAGGTGAATTATTTTATTAAAACACAAAAAGGGGAGAGCAGATACGGACGCGAGATTATGTGACAATTTAAGAGTTTCACCCATCTGCATGGCGATCTCATTCAGATAGGCTTAATAGTTTCCGAATACAGATTTAATTTATATAGATGAGGTACTTCTTTAGCATCTCCTAAAGAAGTTCAGATGTTTTTTTAGTGAATGGTAACGACACACTCGTCGTATAAAATATTGTACAGACAGAAACACTATGTATGTATCCTTTTTACATTTTCAATTGCTTGTATGTGGAATGAGGATTAATTAAAACAAAATTTCCTGTTCGCAAGCTACTTACATAAAAACAGCTAAAACGTAGTTCGTGTGGAACATGTACTTTTTACAATTCGTTTTAAGTAATGCAATAATCTTAATGGCACTAAGTGCAAATGCAAACATCTGACTACGAAAATAATTATTATACTCGTACATGCAGAATAAGGATGACGACAGGACACGAAAATTAAAAATCTTTTTAGATCGTTAGCTAGATAATGAAAAATATTGAAATGAAATGAAAAGAGTTTTATTCGGCATACGGCATGAATGCAAAGAACAAAAAGTAGCAATACAATATATTCGACACGTTATTTTGTTTGATCGTATAAGAAAACAAAATACATAAACAAAAACGACTTAAAGGATTAGAAGTTAACTACTTCATCCTAAACACAAAAGGTAACTAGAAGTGACGTCACGCAATAATTTAAATCGATATAATATGTCAAACATTTTTATTTCAATGAGAATCTAAAAAAAATATAAATGCTTTATGTAAAACAATCTACCAGATGGACATTAAAAAAAATTCATCGTCATCACTATTCTCTTTACTGCCTAACCTTAATATTCGTTTTAGCAGATCTAGAATACGACTCGACGCTATAATCTTATTGGTTATTATATCTGGTTATATTGTTATTATGCGTCGTTAAACATGGCCGTATGCCACAAATCGGTGTAATAATCGTGATGTGATATTGGTGTAATCAATATGCTTGAGCTGGGGATTAACGAACGCAATTTCGGATTATATTAAATAATGTGGGATTTGGTGAAGTGTTTATTTAAAATGTAGCATATAATTGTTTATTAATGAGTGATAGATGGAGTGAAGATATTCGCAAAATAGGTGGTTGTGGCCGAATATGAAGAATGAATAACCAATCTAAGTAATCTATTTCAATAAACCGTAAATTAATGAATTAAAGGAGACCATTATGACGATGAAAATGTCATTTGAGTAAAAATAGATACTAAAAAACAGAAAAGAAAAAATAAAACGACACAAAAGGTAAATAATTTCAAAAAATTCGGTATATGACCATTCTTTTTTTGCAATTTCAAAACTTGGTCAGTATAATCATGAAAATTACCACAGATTGTCCAAAGGCACACTACACTGTACACGTACCTACTACCAAAACTTCAATAAATTACTAAAGTGATCAACGAACTGTATAATTTCGACGTCACCCTATTCCCATATTAATTTGAAATTGAAATTAACTGGAAGGAGCTTCATTCTGAGCAAGTTATAAGACAGGAGTTAGATTACTAAAGTCGTAAGCCGACCTCCTACAACCTGTTACTTAGGGTATTGTCGGGGTTAAATGTATGGAGCATGTTCTAATAATTGATAATGCATATGAAACTCGGCGCTAACGGGTTAATTAAGAAAACATTGCAATCAAGACTTTTGCGTAAGCTAATTAAAAATACTTTCCTCATAATAAAATATACATATTAAACACTTCTAAAACATATTTCTATCATGAATGTTTAGCATTCTACGTAAAACGGGGTGAAATTATATTAAATTAAGTAATGACTGAAAAATATTAGTAATATATTATAAAAGGTCAATAATTTTTCACGGACCAGATATCTAAAGTCAAGAACATGTCTGACCACAAGATGATCGAGACAGTATCATCTAAAGTTATCCCAAAATAACCTACAGCTCTACTTTGCAATATTTGTCGCCCACTACATCTTGCCTAGACGAAAATTTATGCGTCTCCAGCGCCAATCCAATAAGTATGTAATGTTGATGTCAAATATTCTTATCATGTACTGCTACAGGAACCCTAACTTCCAACGACTTCTTAGTCCCAACGATACAGTCACGTAATAAGATCAGATTTACTTTCATTCCGTCCGCAAACCTGATAATTACATTGTCGCTTCCAAGGTCAATTTCCCCAGTCTCATTTCTACTATTCACCATAAAATGAAGTAATTCTCTGTAAAAATACGTATATTTCTCTCCTTAATACCAGAAAATACTGAGCTATTTCCACGAAAAGCTCATGTTTACATAAGCTGAGAGCTTTTCGGACATGTCTTACTTAATTAGATTCCACTTTCTTCGAGAAAATGCTTCAATGTACTGGAGTGGAATGAATACGTATTACAAACGTACTGATATATATAAATTACATAATATTTTGCTGGAAAACTAAATTGGTTGGTTGAAGGAAACGAGTTATTTGTGAGGGATTATATATTATGAATTCTATGAAATATGATTATATGTAATACTTTTGCTTGGGGATCTTTCATTCATATTCGGAAAAGATTAGAATTATAACGTATTCTTATGTCGTCATATTTTTTTGCTTTATAGCTCTTTGTAGAAATTTAATACTGCTCTGACGGTCTCGTTGGCCGAGTGGTCGTAAGTGCGACTGCCAGGCAAGGGGTCTGGGGTTGAAATCCCGGGTCGGGCAAAATATTATTGGGTTTTTTTAATTTCTCAAAGAGTCTGGAATTGTGCCCGGTATATGACAATGGGCTCACCCCCTATTACATGGGACTCATAACATAAATAGTGAAAAATGGGTGTTACATTGTACAGTGGCGTGATGTGCACCTCTGCCTTCGCCCTCTGGGATAAAAGGCGTGATGTTATTGATGTTATGTTTATGTAGAAACATATAAAGGTTTTCTGACTCCTCACTTACAATAACAATATGATTGCGTACAAAAAATATATCTTAATATACCTGTTCAGGACATATGCGTGATACAATACAACATCTACTAAAAGAAATAAAACATATTAATAAAATCAAAAGCCTATGCGTTCAGGAATGTGAAGCATGCTAATTTTAATTAATTTAATGGTGCGTGATAACTCAGTGTTAATTCGCGAATACTATTTTCAAAGTCAGATGTGACCTTGAGAAATGATACCACCGCAACAATATTACGTCATGTTTTCTGTAAATGAATTTAAATCCTGGCTACCAGCCAAATGTCCTATCCTAACATACGACAGAAATTTATTAGGATCACAACAAAGGCCTCTTATAGCCGCAATTTAATAATTTTATTGTTTCAAAAGGATACAATTAAAAATGCATTATTAAATTGCGGCTAAAAATCTTATCTGGTTTGGTTCACAGAACTGATTGTTACCCATATTTATAATTTTCGAGTATTAAGTATTAACATTCAGAAAGAACAGACACAATATTGTTGAAGTTGTATGATCGGTTAACCGTACGCCTTCGCTGCTGCTGAGGAATAATGCCTCCGGTTCGGTTTCCGAAGCAAGAAATTCATATCTGGTATTTAATAATCCCAGTCAGCACGGAATCTGTTATCATGTTCAGTGTATCTAAATAGGTTTGCCCTCAATTGCATGAAACTCATAATCTGACAATTGGAACAACTCCATGGACGAGATCACAGAAATATGATAGGTATTATATGTGTCGACGAGATAGTCAAGTCACAATTTCTATAATCTAATATTTAAGGGTACCTACTAAAATAGAACCAACCCGTGCATATGGCGCGTCGCGTTCCGCACGCGGGTCAAAAAGCCATCACACCTCCACAGTTGGGGCTGATGCCTGAAACGGAGCCGCGGAAGACTTAACAGGTTTGCGGGGCTCTGGCTCGTACAGTAGGCGTAGGAATAGGGGCGGTTTTTAGTCATTAAGCGTCTGACACTCCTTCTCGCCTCACCCAAGGCGGAAGAAGTCATTGATTTACAGCCCTCAAAAAAGGTATCAAAAATAAATTTTCAACTTACCGATAACATCAAGTGCGATCTTATAGTTCCTGGTGGGAGACACGTGGAAGTCCACACGACATCTGTAGATGGCGCGATCTCTTCCTTTGATCTCCAGCATCTTGAGACCAGCATTGGGCGCGCTGTGCCAATGGGCTCGACCAATATAGGCCTCGTCCACCCAATGCGCTGATGGTCCTGGCACTCGAGTGTCGTAACTGTTGAAGAAAAATGAAAGTTAGGGGATAAAGTCTAAGGTTTATGTTTCTTTGCTGGTGGCTTTCAAAAATAACTACTGTGATATAATATGATTTTGTTTCTCTCTCTCTCTCTCATGCACGACAGTACAGGTTAGTAACCTATCAACGGCAAGTATCAATGTGACTTTTTGCGGCTTATATGTGCTTTCTAAGATTATCAAACCCCCCTGACATTAGTTTGAAATCGCTAACCCGCACTGAGCAGGCATGGCGATTAATGCTCAATCCTTCTCCGTGCGAGAATAGGCCTTGGGTCAGCAATGGCCACTTGTAGGCTGTTTATGAAATGATGAGATTTATCGAGCGAAAAAATATTATTCAAACTAAACAGGTTCTTAAAGTACGTAAGATATTCGAACAAAAACCATGAAAAAATCGTGGTAAGCGATCATATTACGTAATTCAGTTAGTAAACGATAAATTTTATAACAATTTCACTAAGTATTTAGGTAACAAAAGAATTTAAGATTTACTACAACAGGTGAATAGTTTACATAACTTGGCTAAAGCTCTTAAATTCTCGTCATTTCGCTTCTAGAAATTTAGTAGTGTTAACTTTTGTACGCTATTTTCTTCAGAATATAAGCTTTCATTGTAGAAATAACTCTGAACTGAAACTTATAAGTTTTAGTTAAAAATATAAACATAAATAATTATTTTTTTGTTATTATGTTTTCGGTTTGCTCACGTAACTATTTGACGAGGAACTCGACTAGTATCAGGCCTTACTAGAGGCGCGACTACGCGTCCGCGTAATCGGAGTTTTTATCCATCTGCGGCGTAACCGTTTAACAGCGTAATCATAATTATCAGGTACTTAACTCGTCGAGTACCGGTTTTGTAGACACAATTATAGAACAATAGGTTGCGGTCACCGGTGACCGCTTGGTGTTTGACAGTTTAATTGCACCGCGTCACGTGACCAGAGTAATCCTACCTCAAAACAACGGCTGGTGCTGTCTAGAATTTTACAAGCGCGTTCCACTTCACACATTTTTGCGTGGCACTTCTGTGATACCTATAGACTCGAGCAAAGACTGCTGTTTCACGAGGTCGCTGTGATCATCTATAAACTTTCGAAAGAATTTTATTGACTCACTGTCCGACTTTTCACGAGTATGTAAATCCTCAGGTCCGTGAACAAAACAACATAACCTTGTAAGGGACGCTATAGGTTGCCCGGATTTGCACTGGCGTATTCGTTCATTTACGATTAATCTACAGTTATCTTGACCGATTCACGACATCGCACACAAATCTAAATCACGCAGATGTTTGTTATTATTTCAAACTCTAGCAGACACAGTTTGGTATAAATCTAAATCATCAATAGTTCGTTACATAATATCATGGCATGACTGCCTCGTTGGCGGAGTGGTCGTAAGTACGACTGCCGGGCAACGGGTCTCGGGTTCGATTCCCGGGTCGAGCAAAGTACTACTGAGTTTTTATAAATTCTCAATAGTAACACGGAGTCTGGAATTGTGCCAGGTATATTGCAATAGGCTCACCCCCTATTACATGGGACTCATAACATAAATATTAAATAGTGAAAAGTGGGTGTTACATAGTACAGTGGCATAATGTACACCTCTGCCTACCCCTTCGGGGATAAAAAGCGTGATGTTATGTTATAATTATAATATCATGGCATACGCCGCTGGGACCGCGAATTAAATAATAATTAACGCAGTGACCCAACGTGAATTATTTTAATACATTACGATACCACGTGCACTAACAATTCTTAACGGAGATTATGGTACACTAAATAATACATACTTGAATCTACTAATGACACGGTGACTCCATCATCTTACGACGACAAAGCTTACGAACTATAATTCAATATTAACAAAAATAGTTACAGGCAAATTATTTAACAAAGTTTTGGTGGTTCGACACCGCTCACCCATACTCGTCACTGACTCAGCAGCCAACGGCGATGACGCGGGCGCGGGCGACTGTACCTAATGTACATACATGGGCCGCCTAAGTGGCGGCGGCGACGGCGGCCGGCGGGTGCGCGATACCGCAACCGGTGGTAGGTACCGACTACCGATGTCATCGGTAACACCCGGGGCTCTCGGCTTCTTGTAGAGTAGAAGCATATGATGTGGAGAACAACACTTTGCACATTGTTTTGCAGGACAACGATAACGAGAATGGTTTTTCACTAAACACTTGAAACACAGTTTATTGACCTTTACGAAATCCCACTTTTCGTTTTCTCTTTTTGCCACGAACTTATCGCACCGGGTAATCGGTGACCCGCACTACTACACAACGCGCACTCACTCGATGACGAACTCGGTGTCGCGGATGTAGGTACCTCGCTGGTGAGGTGCACTCAATCAGCTGGTCTACTATGTTGACGCGCGGTATCAGCGCTCCTCGTGCTCGACATCGCGTACAATTTTGATATGGTCGCTTCGACATACGTACTTGAAATTTAATAGCATCGGCTAGATGCATGATGTCCGAGGCTGCGACGGCGCGGGTGGCGGCCGCGGCCGGAGGCGGAGCGCCCGGCCGATGCGTAAACTTCGCGGCGGCCGGCGAGGACGCCGCCGCGGGCGCGAACGGCGCGTGTCTCTCGGTCCGCGCATGCGCGTAGTGCACGCATTCTCGTTCTGAGCCTCCGATGGCGGGATGCGGACAGTCGGACACGCGCCAACTGCGCTTCGTGCGAGGGCGGTTTTTCCACGTGATCGCATGGGGCTGCTTGTGTCGAACTCAACCGCTCATCCACATTTCGATAAGAGACGACACTCACCGCGCGATCCTCCAAGTCCTCAATCTCGGCGATCTCCATGGCCAGCCTTTTTTGGATGAGTTGTTCCCACACTGAAGCTAGCTCTTCTTCAGCTTTTTCCTCGGCGCGGAGACGAAGCGCTTCGCGGCTGAGGTGGCTCGATCGCGACCCGGTTGACGTGGCAACAACTTCACACTACCTACGGGACGCCGCGCCGTAGGTATACACGTAATTTCCGTAACGACGCGACGCTCAGCTTCAGTAAGAGTTTTGCTTCGTGTTTCGACACCGCAAACTTTGCCATTCATTGTGATCCGGCTCGAAGGATCAATGTAACAAATTAGGGCTGGATGTTTCCACAACGAATTCAAAAACCGAGAAAATTGGCGGGAACGCGGAGCATCTTCGAATTCCACGCTCACTCACTCAACGTTTCGGCGGCGACTGTTGGCCGTAGGCGCCGGCGGGCGCTGCGCTAGCGCGAGGCGCGAGCGCGGGGTCCACTCGAGGGGGCGTGGGCGGGGCTTCGAATTTTGAATTTTATCGCGAACACGAATTTACCACCATTTTTCGTATCGCGCTAAAAGGAGGTTTTTAACATAAGAGTTGCCTACAGTACTAATAATAGTTATTTTTAGCTATTTAGTTTTTACTTTTTGTTTGTGTTTAGTTTTGGGTTTTTTTGAAGTCGATTTTTTAAACGCAGTTTTAATTTTTTTATTCCAAGATTGTTGATATATTCAAGAATTGCGTGTTTAAAGGTAGTAGATAAAAACAATAATAAGATAACTCAATTTACTGACAACGACCATTCGTTTCCAACGTTAAGCGTACCTACTCTCCGAACGATGTCAGCCCCAACCCCAATTGTCATAGAAACTTCTATGACAGACGTTGCCGGCAGTCAGAAGCCCAAAAGTTTGACATGTCTAAGAATGTCGTGTCAATCCTTGTCTTGAGAGAGACAAGTGACTGTTGCATGAATCGCTTGAATCTGGATAAGATCCTCGAAGATATTTATTAAAAAAAGGTAGATAGTAAAGAAGCTTTAAATTATAATCTTTGATAAAGGTGTATGATGCATTCACATTCTTAGAGAACTTCACCTTTACATGAGATTTTGGTAATATTGTAGTGTAATATTGTATCAATGAAATAGTTTTTTTTTTATGGGACAAGTCGGTAAACGATGGTAAGCAATCGGGGTCGCCCAAAGACACGCGGAACACTAGAGGCGTTACAAGTGCGTAACCGGCCTTTTCGAGATTAGACATTTTAGGATTGTTGGGAATTCGGGAATTGGGGAGATAAGAGAGGGGGTAATTGGGCCTCCGATAACCTCACTCACACGACGATTTAACACAAAACACAGGCTTTATGTTTTCTGTGAGGCCGTGATACCACTCCAGTCGAGCCAGCCCAGCAGTGCCGAAACATGGGCAAGGCACTCCCACACTTAAAAGGCAATAAACTTATCGTGAAAGATATTAGATAAGTTACAATTTGAGTCTCTATTCTATTGCAGGTATTAAAAAAATCTCAACCTCGAATTATACCCAAAATTTCCTAAGAAATTCCTTCCTACAACTACTACAGTCAACTAAAGGATGCAGTATTAAAGTACTTATAATTTTTAAAACTAATGCACGCTTTATAAACAACGACGACTTTTAAGATCACGCTAACAGCACTATAAAGTAACTTAATATAAAAATTGCAGTTTTTAATGAATTTCTTGGTTGCTAGTAGGTAATACTATTGCAAACGACCGAAGCGTTTATTGCCGACCATAATAATTATTGTATTATAAAACTAATTATACTGCGTGGGAGTTGTGGTTATTAATTACACGGATAATTAACATGAATGTGTGTGTGTGTTTTATTTTGTATTTGAGATGAAATGCTATTTTATTAATATTATTGGTGTTTTTGCAGCCGACTGTGTAGGGAAATTATATGTTTTAATTAGTTGTAATAATAATTATTTTGTAACTAGTTAATATGTAAATGTACACATACAACAACGCTACCTTGTTGGGCGAGTGGTCGCGAGTGCGATTGCCGGGCAAGGGGTCTTGGGTTCGATTTCTGGGTTGGGCAAAGTATTACTCGGTTCGATTTATGGGTTGGGCAAAGTATTACTTGGAATTTAACCCGGTATATGGCCATAAGCTTTACATGGTATAGTGGCATTAAACTGT